GATCATCCCTCCAGCCCTCAGACCCTGTTCCTCCCCCCTCCACACACTCCCCTCACCTTTCTTTTCAGCTGCTGGATCTCTGCCTCAGTCACAGCATGCTTGATCTGGAGCTGCAGGGGAGAGGGGCAGGTGATCAGTTCACGGGCCGGGGGCGGGGGGTTGGCAGAGCTGCAGGTGGGATGGCCCACCTTACCCTCCCCCCTCCCCCCTCCCCCCCCAGGACCCCCTCCTCCCACCTCCTTGAACTTGTGCACCAGCTTCTCGGGCTCCATGTCCACAGGGGACAAGGCATCCTCGTTCTCTGCCAACTCGAACACCTCGATGGCCATCTCGCCACCTGGGAACGTGGGGCTCAGCTCCTCCTCCTCGTCAGTGGCGTACTCTCCGGTCTGCGAAGGAGAGAGGAGGCCGTGCGCCCTGCCCATCCCAGCCTTCCTCAGGCCTGACAGCCGGGCTTAGACTGGCAACAGTCAGCCCATGTCAAACTGGGAGCCCCTTAGGGGGTCTGGTTCATGTTACCCCCATCAGACTGGGGCCATGGTTTGTGTCTTCCCTGAAGGCATGGGCAATCCCCCCATAAGAGAGACCCCTGAAGAGACAGCCTGTTTCGAGGGGTCCCCTGAGGTCTGGAACTGTCTCCTTCCTCAGATTATGTCCCCTGGGGTTAGGGGCTGTGCTGTCCCCTCAGAGTGGGGGCTCTTTGAAGAACTCTATTTTCCTCGTGGGACCAGGAAGCCTCTCTGAGGAAAGAGGGTGTGACTCCTCCATCAGGGTTCTGGGAGGAAAGGTCTGCATCACCTCCCTCAGACGGGGGGGCGGGGAGGGGGGCTCCCCTAGGACAGGGAATGGTGCTCTGGGCTTCTTCACAAGGCCTGGGAAAGCAGTGGAGGCAGAGGATGTCTGTAAAGCTCCATCCGGCCACCAGGGGGCGATGCCGCTGGCAGCCAGGCCAGGAGTCCCTACCTCCTCATCTTCCTCCCCATACTGGGCGTATCTCTGCTCCATCATCTCTCGCTGCCATCGCTCCTGTTCCAGGGTCTGCTGAATGAGCTGAGCCACCTCGCTCTGCTCACCGGGCCGCTCCCGGCCAATCATAAACCTGCAGGGACACCAGTGTCATTCCTTTTGCCTCTGCCCTCAGCTGGGTTAACGGCACCATCCTCCCCGCTGGTGCTCCTCTCTCCACACTCAGGCCCTCCCAGGGGAGGTGAAATGAGAGGGCTGAGTCCAGAGGCTGCAGAATGTTAATAATGAATGGGGGAGCCGGGGGCCCTTATTGAGTTTCCTTCCCAGGAGAGGCAAAGGCCCACTGGCCAGTTTGGGGGGAGGGGTGATGACAGCCAAACTTCAGTCTGGGCTGCAGGGGACGTGAGTTCAGGAGCTGCCAGTGTAGAGGCTCTGACCCCACTACGTAGGAGGAAACGAGGCAGGGGATGGTGAATCTGAACCACCCCGGCGGGGCAGGGGCTGTGGAGGGGTGTCTTGTACTGGTATAGGCTCCAAGGCCCTGAGCTTCAGGAAGGGGCGGGATGATGGTGACTGGAGATTAGGATGGAGAGGAAATAGTGGAACTTCCAGGCACCAGCCCCTCCTCTCCGTGGCCACCCACATCCTGTTTCTCTCCACCACCCTTTCCTGGGGGCAGTGCCCCTCTTGGAGGGGGCAGGGAGTGATCCCTGAATGTTCTGCCAGAGAGGGACACAGGGAGCTTCTAGCACAGTCCCCTTAATTGACAGGCTCAGGGAGAAAAGTCCTTCCAGTCTGCATGGCATTCTCCCTGTACATCTTGGTTTTTCAATGAATGAGTCTGGACAGGCAGGGGGGAGAATGAACCCAAGAAGCCAGTTTGGAGGTGCGGTGGAGAGCGGGCCTTGAAGCCCGAGTGCTGGTGGCCAGCAGCGGTCACGGGCTCAGGATGGGAAGGTAGGCTTGAGGCAAGGGATATGGGCACAGCAATTCCTTCGGGCAGGGACGCAGTGGGACCTCCTCTGTAAGTTGGGTCACGCAGAATCTTAACTGTGTGGGCAAATGGGCAGAGTGGCCGGATGAAGGCCGAGCCTCCTGCCTGCTCCCAGGCCCCACCTACCCCACCGGCCCGGCCCTCACCGCACGCGGCCCTTGGTGTTCCGGAGCACGGAGGCTGCAAAGCTCTGGGTCACTCCCACCAGACTGGTTCCGTCCACCTCCACCAGGAGGTCGTTCACCTGGATCCTAGGGGAGGTGACACTGGTTAGGGCATCATGAGGGGACCTGTGGAGCTGGGGTAGAGGTGGCCCCTTCCCATTAGAAACTCAAGGCTCAGTCCCCACAGGGACCTGGTACTTTGTCTACCTGCATAAAATGCATGAGGCCTGAGGCTCAGGTATCAGCCAGACCCACCTGTGTGGGCAGTGAGACCTGAGCAAGCAAAGCACATAGGTGTCAAGCTCCCTTCCCATGACAATCACACCAGTGTCTCCTCCTGCATCACACCTGACAGAGCAGTGTCACATCCACCAGAGATCACAACCGCCACGCACAGTGGCAAGGCCCACAGCCCTCTCACACAGACAAGTCTGCACAGACCTGGTCTGAAGATTTCCTTCCTGCCTCACACACTCATGTTCACACTCTGTACCACAGGGTCCTCTCACCCTGACACTGGTGCACAACCCCCAACAGTCCAGCTGTGCATCTGAATGAAGCCTGTTCTCCTCACAAGGAGAGAGATGGGGGTGGTCCAGCATGGCCTGCTGAGAGGGATGGAATGAGGGGACCTCCCTCGAGCCCCAAGCCTTCTCACAGGGCTCCAATGCGGAAAGGGAGGACGCGGCCTATTGTAAACACTTCACATGCCTCACATGTGGGTACGAGCCTGTGGACACTCTCTCACATGCACACACACTCCCTAAACTGCCAACCAGGAAGGGTTCTGGAAAGTCCCAATGAGGAGGTAAGTGAAAGAGCACGGACTCTCATCTTCCTCTTCTCGGCCCCTCCCCCCATGCCACCTGGGTTGCAGTGGGCAAAAGGCCTCTGATGGAGGCAACCCCACCTCTAGCAACATGACCCCAAAGTCATTAGCCCTCACAGGGATACCCACTCACCTCTGTCACATGAAAGGGGTCTGCGTTGGAGGTGCCACCACAAGGCACCCTTGATGTCAACCTCCCACTTACAACCCCGGGGTGCCCTGAGCCCTTCCCACTTCCCTGCTGCAAGACACATACAGTGGAGCTGTCCACAGAAGGGTCACTGGGCTTCCCAGGACTCCAGGAGGTCCTTCCAGAACCTTCTGACCCACAGAGACCCCCTCTAGCTCAGATATCAAAACACAGGCACACATGACACACAGAAGGAGCAGTTTCCTCTGCAGACACATCTGCACCGTCTCTCTAGCCACACCACACACCTGGATCCCCTCTGTTCTCTAGGCTCCAGCCATAACTGCCTGCTTTTGGTCCCCTGCCTGCACCTAATACTCCTTTTTAGCCTAGTTAACTTCTGCTCATCCTTCAGGTCTCAGCTGCAATGCCACTTCCTCCAAGAAGCCTTCCCTGATACCCAGAGAGATCAAGCCCCCCCCCCCCTTTTTTTTATTCAGGGCTGATGATCAGATTTTATTTACAATTTGCATCCTACATTTTGTCACTGGACATATCCCAACGTTGCTCATTGTAAACAGAGTATCTCATCAGGAGGGAAGCACCATACTCCATCTAGGCGTGCTGCTGCTGTACAGACACGACTTTTTATTTTCCTATAGATACTGTGATGGGCATCTTCATGCAGAAAGCCTTTCTGCATTTAGGATTACTTCCTTAAGGCTTTGGTAAATATTGCCAAATTGCTTTCCCAAAGAGGGTGTACCAGCTACACTTGGGCAATTGTATTGAGCTGCCTGGTACCAAAGGAAATTTAAGGTTGTAGTCTCACTTGGGTGGGAGGTCAAGCCCTCCTTTTTATGCCTTCATGGCGCCCTGTATTTTTCCTCCATTTCACCATTTTCTGTGTCCACTTGAATGTCTGCCTCACCACACCGCACCGCACCACACCACACCACACCACATGATTCCTAAGGGCAAGTATCTCATCGCTGACTCCCCGGGGCCTGGCACCAGCCCCAGGACAGAGTCAGGAATTAGATATTTGAGGAATGAAGGAGGGAATGCTCAAATATACTCCACCAGGCACATAGTCTCCATGCTCATGCTCTCCCTACCATGACCCCCCACACACTCAGACACCCAAAACCAGCCCTCGTCTTCACCCGCCCCTGGAATGCAAGTTCATGCTGTGGCCCCAGGCCTCGACCAGCACCTGGCACAGTTTTGCTCCACCACCATCTGAGCCCAACCTGGCTCAGTGACCCACCCTACAGAGGATGAGAGGGAGAGGCCGTACCTGCCGTCCCGATGGGCTGCACCGCCCTCAGTCACAGTCTTGACGAAGATGCCCAGCTTCTCCAGGCCCATGTCTGCCCCGGCCCCCATGCCGATGATGCTGATGCCCAAGCCCTCGGAGTCTGTGGAGCAGAGGGCAGTGAGATGGTGGGGGGCCATGGAGAAGGGGGAACAAGGAGGTCTAGCTCAGGGTTTGCAGGGGACAACGTGAGAGATGCACCCCATCCCCAGCCCTCACTCTGGGGCATGGCCCCCCTCCAAGCTTAGGAGTGTCCCACAACTGGGGAAGGGATGCAGTTTTGCCCACCCCGTCTTTGCCAAGTCGACTAGGATGCTCTTGGGTCACTCCCTGCCCTCTGTCCACCCACAGAATGGATGGGCAGCAGGGTCTGCTGAGGGTGACCCTCGTGGGTGGGCCAGAGGCTACTGTGTGCACATGAGGGTATGTGGGGGGTGCGGATGGAGCCGGGTGGCAGCATGGGTTCACTCTTCTTTAAGCAATCTCATCCAAACTCACAGCTTCAAAGACTTCCCGCTCTTCTCTCCCAGCTGCACCGCCCCTCCCGTGGCCTCTGACATCCCAACTCATGGTCTTCCCCTACAAACTGGCTCTTCCTGTCTGCCACTCCCTCACGGGGCCTGGGAGTCACCTGGATTCCTCCCTCCCCCTCACAGCCTTTGCCCAAGACAAACCACCACCAGACCCTGCCGATCGGCCTCCCCAGGACCTCTCAGGTCACCCACTTCCCTCCCGCACGGCCATCATCTTGTCCACACCAGTGGTCCTAGGATCCTTCCCCGCAAAGCACAGCCTGGAGGGGTCTTTCTTTTTTGAATCCTCACCTGAGGATATTTTCCATTTGATTTTTTTTTTTTTAAATATATTTTATTGACCTTCCACAGAGAAGAAGGGAGAGGGACAGAGAGCTAGAAACATCGATGAGAGAGATCGATCAGCTGCCTCCCGCACGCCCCCCACTGGGGATGTGCCCGCAACCAGGGTACATGCCCCTGACCGGAATCGAACCCGGGACCCTTGAGTCCGCAGGCCGACGCTCTATCCACTGAGCCAAACCGGCTCGGCCCATTTGATTTTTAGAGAGAGTGGAAGAGAGAGGAAAAGACAGAGAAAAATATCGATGTGAGAGAAACACATCAATTGGTTGCCTCCTGTGTGCACCTGGGCCGGGGAGGAGGTACGTGCTCTTGACTGGAATCAAATCCAGGACGCTTAGGTCCGCAGGCTGATGCTCTACCCACTGAGCCAAACCGGCTAGGGCCTGGAGAGGTCTTTCTAGAATAACTCTCCCACACCAGTCCATCGTAGGGAAAAGACAGTGTCCTTCACATGGTCCCGAGGCCTTACTTGCACACCCTTCTTCCCCTCACTGTCCAAATCCAGCCAAGCCTGCCTTCTCTCTTCCCCAAAAACTCCCCTGAACTCCTTTTCAGAGCCCAACTCAAACATCACTTCCTTGGGGAACCCCCATCCCAAGTCTGATCAGGTCTCCTGTAAAACGCTGTTATTTCAGCCCCTCCGGGCCTCCCCAGCACCTATTACAGCGCCTAAGGGCGTAGTTAGATGTGACTGTCCCATCCATGTCTGCCGCCCCCTTAGGTCTCCCCATGTCTGGCCAACACACAGCCCAGGACAGCCCACACCGTGCCCTCGGGAGCCTGGCAACTGAAGGAGCACACAGAACTGGTGGTGGGAGCCTGGGCTAGACTGGAGTCCGTGTGGCTGTGGGTTGCTGACAGGGGCCCCGGGCAGAAGCTGGCACCGGAGAGGAGACCCACGTGGCCTGGCCCTGGCCTCTCACCCTTCTCCAGCTCCACAGGGAACAGCTCCAACCGCTCCACCCGCTTCTCCAGCTCATACTCCGCAGAGGCCGCCATGGGGTCCACGTCCTCGTTGCGACGATCGTAGTCCTCGTTGGAGTAGGTGCTGAACACCTGGGGAGAGGGACACGTGTCAGAGGGCAAAGGCAGAACTGGCTTGGTGAGGCCAAGAGGGCAGGCTGTGCCACCCACCGATGCTCCCCTCCTACCAGAGGCCTCCTCCACCCCCTAGACAGGTTAAGGTCTCCCCCAGCCCATGATCAGCCCAGCTTGGAGTGAAGGCCCTTCTAGTTCTGGAGTCCATGGGAGAGAAAGGGCCACAGCCTCGTCCAGTCCACACCATGATTCTCTTCTGCAGCTTCAACAGTGTAAGCACGGCCCAGAGGAGAAGCAAAGGAAAGGCCATGCTGGAGAAACTGCCCGACTCAGGAACCCAGGTCCCCAGGACAGAGAACGACCAACAGACAGGGGCAAACAGCGAGTAAGAGATGAGGGAGAGCCAGACCGGGCGAGGGCAGATACAGACATGGACACAGGGGGCAGGATAGCAGAAGGAACAGGCTGAGCAGGCGAGGAAAAGAGGCGGAGGGGAGAAAGAATGGAGATGCTGGAGGATGCCAGATGGGGAGAGAGGAGGGAGCGGTGTGAGACGCGGGGAGGGGGAGGGGAGCAGGAGACACAGAGATGGAGAGGACAGGGCTGACCTGAACCTGAAGTTGAGGCCAGGGTGGGGGAGGGAGGCAGGAAGGACCACCTCCACCCTCATGGGGGAAGGGCAGGCCCTCCACCTAAGGTGCCCCTCAGATGGTAGGAGCAGAGAGAACACCTACGGCCTTGCCTGCGGGCCGCAGTCTCCCTCCAGGACCACCGCTCTCTGAGGCTGGCCCTGTCTCCAGTGCACCGGGCCTTGATGAGACAAGCAAACCCAGCCTTCGAGGTGGCCCCAAGGCCAGCTCAGCTCTGCCTTGTCCCCTGTGCCCCTCAGCTGTCTTCCTCTTCCCAAATCTCTCAGCACAAAGTGGGGGGGGGGTCCCCAGCCCGACCCTCCTCCCAGGAACAGAAGATAGGGCAGGGGCTGTGGGAGTGCCTGATTGTGGGCCCAAGCAGGGGAGCCCCCAGTGGGAGGTTAATGAGCACCATTTGGGGTACCATGACTTGTTCCTGCTTCACTGCCTGCAGCGACAGGTTGGCACCACTTGGAGCTTAGTGGGGGCGAGAATGGGTGGGAGCAGCTCTGTCAGATGCCTGGGCCTGAGGAGCTGGAGTGGGGCACTGCCTTCCCCGAGAACCCGCCGGGCCCCGCTCCTCCAGTACAGTGTCTCGGGAGCACAGGGCAGGAGCAGCACTCCGGTATCCCAGCTTTAGTTTGGGCTCCTGTGTCCATGCCCCCAAGCCCAGAGGCTCACTCCCAGGGTGAGCCTGGGAGCATGGCCGGGGAAGGGGAGCTATGTGGCCACTCAACTCATTGCCCTCAATTTCACAGCATCAGAGAAACTCAAGCTCAGGCCCTTGAAGCTCATCATCAATTGTGCAGCAGGCCGTTGGACTGCCCTCGTGACACCTGGCCAGCAGCCTCCAAGCCCCCTGGAGGGAGGGCGACCCAGTCTGCACAGGGTGCAAATGCCAGGTCCGCTGCCCTGGGTTAGCCGGGGGTAGGGCAGGATGAGACGGTGCCCAGCTGGGCTCTGGTGGGCGGGTCGCCTGTGACTTTGTCCTCATTGCACACATGTCCCAGGCCCTAGGACAGGAGCTGGTGTGAGCTGAGACCGGGCAAACTGGGTTTGGCCCACTTTAGCCTCTGAGTCAGGGTCCCTTCATCGCCGTCTTTGTGGTGGCCTGGGTCACCAAGCCGCTCCCCCATGCAGTCTCATAGTGTGTGTGCACACGAACACACACAGTGACCTCCAAAACACCCTGGCAGCCTGCCCTGGGTTCTGCCCTCATCTTCTTTTCTCAGCCTATGAAGTCCTGCAGGAAACTCAGCCTCAGGCTCAGAGGGCCCAGACCACCCCTCACGTTGCCCACCATGATGGGACCAGCCTCTCAGAGAGCCCTGGGCCCAGGTGACAATCTGGAACTGAGCTCTCTGTCCTCAGCAGAAGCCTCCACAAAGGCAATAACTGGGTCACCAGCGGGACACGAGGCCCTGGACTGAGTATCCATGCGGAGTGGGGGCAGGGAGAGGGGAAAACGGGGACCGCTGCCCAGGGTGGGGAGGAGGAAACCCCAGCAAGGTCACAAGTCAGACACAATAAGGCAGGACCACATGCCACCGGCTCCCACACTCAGGCAGCGGCAGTCACCAGGGAGTCGGGGAGCACTGCTCCAAATCATGCGCTATTTTTTAGCCCAAAATCAGGGTAAGGTGTCAAATATAGACAGTCAGAGGCCCAGGTCCAAAAGACCAAATTCCACCTCTGAGGGGATCAGGCGGCTCAGAGAACTGGTGGGGGGCTGGGGGGTTTCCTGACTTCCTCAGTGCCCCCCACCCTTCCTTAGCATCCCAAGAAACCCCGTAATCCTCAGTTCCCTCCAGGATCTCACGGCCTCAGGAGGGAAAGAGGGTTGAGAAAGGACTTTAAGGTCGTAGCTGGGGAAGGGGCTGGCCTGGTGGGGATTGCACCTTTCAGGCCCCTCGATGAGAGGGCCAGAGGTTAAGATACTCTGACAAGTGAGAGGAAACTGGGCCAGCTTCAGTGTCCACCAGTCGTTATGGAAACTGCAAGCAAACAGATGAGGGTTTGACTCAGGAGGGGAGGGGCAGAGTCCAGGAGCCAAGAACAGTCCGGAACCTGGCACCCCGTGCAGTGGACCTGCCGCTGAACCAGGGGTGGTGAGAAAGGGCCATCTAGGCTGAATGTGCCAGTCAGAAGTGGGGGGTAGAAAAAAGGGGGAGGTGGCCAGAGGTTCTTGTCTCCCCAGGGGATGCCCCCTCCCCCACACCAGCACTGCTCTGAGGAGCTCAGGGCACTGGCACGGTCTACAAAGAATCACCCAGCGTGGTGGTGCGGGTGAGGGGGCCCACTGAGACCTCCCAAAGGGGCAGTTCCCATCCCTGTCAGGGCACCCAGAGAACGCAGCCAAGAGCGTTTAGGGCCTGCCAAGGCCTTGGGAGCCTGTCCTATTGAGCAGCCAAGAGCAAAGGCATGCAGGCTGCTGCCAGGCCCCCGGCGGGGGGGTGGGGGGGGGGGTTCCCAGCCCCACCGCCTCCTCCCTGGCCAGCTGAAGGCCTAGCCCCCTCAAGGGCCACACCAAGTACCTATTCCCTGTGGCACCCAACACTTCCCCCTGGCCCACCCAGACCCCAAGAAAGAGGGCCCCAGCACTGGCCTTCCCCCACCCCCAGTCACATGACCCAAGCCCAGCTCACCCTCAAAGAACTGCTTCCCTCTTTCACTTCTGCAAAGCTGGGGTAGGGGCTACATACAAGACGGAGGGAGTTAGGGCTATGGTCCCCTGTTCCTTAATTTTGGGGAGTTCCTGGCTCCTCCCTCCCACATTCTAAACAGCTCCTACACAGGGGGAGTCCAGAGGGTGTTTCCAAGCTCCCCTGCCCCCCTCCTGCCCAGAGCTGGGTAAGGACCAATATGGGGAGGCTCTCCTGGGGACACACACACACACACACACACACACCCAAGCCTTTGCCTCTGGCACGTCTGGAGGAAGAATGACTGGGAATGGAAGGGAAAGCAGGTGCCCCAGGACCCTTGGCGGGGACGGGGCAGGGAGGGGTGCGGCAGCAGACAGAAGAACCTGAGGGCAGGTCCAGGCAGGCCATCCCTGTCTCAGGCCTGAAAGTCCTCCCCTTCTGACAAACAGCTGGCACTCCCCCACGCCCCCTCCGGGTGGTAACTTCTGGGAAGGGGCTGAGTGGCAGGGGCTGACTCAGCCTGCCAAACTCCACGGGCGAAGTGGGGGCGACGGCGTGCACGTGGCAGGCAGGGGCGGCGCGGGGCGGGGAGGGGGGTCACTTACTTGGATGGGCGCCGTGCTGAAATGGATCTTCCGGCTGGGAACCGGGTCCTCTTCCTCCGACAGCCCCGGGATCTCCATGCACCCCGACTCGGGCTCATAGGGGGGCTCCCCATCCTCGTCGTCGTCTTCATCGTCCTCCTCCAGGGCACTGCCCCCGGAGTCCTCCCCGAGCCCGCTGTAGGCGCTCACGTCCACCAAGTCCGCCTCGGAGAAGTCCTCCTTCTTGGACTCATCCGCCTCCTCCGGGGCCACCTCCGGGCCCCGGCCATTGCCCACCCCTCGCTCAGGCGCCCCCGCGGCCGCCGCCTCTTCCTCGGGGGCCCCCGGGGCCTTCTGCTCTTCGGGTGCCGGGCTGGCCGCGGTGGCCCGGGTGCTGCCATTCTCCAGGGCCGCGTGGACTGTCACCTCCGCCTGGATCACCTCCCCAGGCGCCGCCTCGGCCTCCGACTCCCCGCTCTCCTCCACCTCCACCGGCTTGATCTTGCGCACCTCCCGGGGCTTGGGGGGCGGCCGGGCGGGGGCCACTCGGTGCTGCGGGGGCTGCTGCCCGGCGGGGCCGCGCTCTTTCTCGGCGGGGGCATCCCCCGACGGGGCGGGCGGCGGCGGCGGCGGCTGGAACACCCGCGACCGCTTACTGACCAGCTTCGAGTTGACCGGGGGCGCCCCGGCGGCCGTGGCCCGGGGCGGCACGGGCCAACGCTAGAGTATTGTTCCTGGAGTCAGCGTATTTCTAAGACGGCGCAGACCTGGCTGAGTGAAAGCGATACGGCGTCGGCTCCCTATTAGTACAGGGCCTAGGTTGCTGCTGTAGTTTCTTATCTTGGAGGTTAGGTTTTTGGTTT